TCATGCACTTGGTGTGATTCTTGGGGATGGTCCTGTGCAGGGCCAGGGGTTGGACTCAATGATCCTTGTGGGTCCCTTCCAACTCGGCATATTCTGTGATAATGTAAAAAATATGTGTTTCATATTTGTTATTTTGCATAATTTGAATTCCAACTGATATAATGAAATGTACCTAGAAGACAATATACTCTAAAATACCTTAAAAAAAGTTAAATCCATTTAAGCCAAACTTAACATTTTTTTGTCTCTCTTATTTCTTTAGGACTTTCGAACAGTGGCACCATCTATTTTTCTCTTCGAAAAGTTTGGAAAAACTTACTCCCGCGCTGGGCAAATAGTGTAGTTGTCCTGGAAACTACACAAGACACCTGAAAAGTAATCAATAAATGTATTTCAACAAATGCACAGAAGGATGTTGACTGAATGTCCCATAAAGTGGTCTTCCTGTGATGTATACTATGTCTGAAGTAACGTTAATTGATTTTGCTTGATCTTTAAGCACTATGGCTTCCAGGATTTATAAAAAAATGTTTTGTGTGTTTTTAAAAAAAAAATTAGCTTAAGAAAATGATTTCTGAAAATGCTATATTTTATTTAATATAAATAATTTAGGATAGAAAACTAGAGTCATCAAGTAAAATACTTGGAATCACGTTTATTTGTTACAGATTTGTAAAGGAGTTTAAAAAAAGAAGAAAGTTTAAAATTTACATCTGTTTTTTTCCTCACAACTATAAATGTATCTGCTTCATCACTGTTGTTCATAATTTTCAGTGTTATTAGGCATCCTTTTTGGCTACGGATCTGTGTCTTCAGAAGTGCAGGATAGGCATTTACATGGAAGATACTCTTTTAAATCCTTTTATCACTTCTGGGTGATAGAACGTTAGTGTTGAAAAAAACAAAGTTCTGACAACATCTATGCCTTATTATTAGATCAGTTTTTCTATATCCATTTAATTTTCTTTATCACTACCTGTGTATTTACTCCTAGCCCTGTGTTGAGGCCATAATAATGTGATGCTTGGCAAGAACACATTTGATGACACAAAACTGATACTAGTTTGCTCTGTTCACTAGCAAACAATCCTGCAAAACAGTGAGTATCCTCAGAGCCCATCCACTTCAAAAGACTCAAGGAATTCAGCATCATGAGAAGACCTCAGCGTATCTAAAGAGCAAATCATAAGCTAATTCTTAAAATTATGTGAGTGAATTTTACAGGAGTTTTATGCTGAATTCTCTATGATAACTTATTTGCTTTTCATATCATTTGACTATATTTGAATCAAATATATCTGTTTATCTGTGGCTCATGGTAGGCTTTTTATTTCTGAATTTTGTTATGTGATTCTTCTGTGCACTACAACTGTGCAGAAAACCTTGAAGAGATGTCTGTTTTTGTGAAAACTTTCTGAATTGGGTCTAGTGAAAGGTGTCCGTGCCCATGGCCGGGCGCTTGGAAACAGACGAACTTAGGCTCCCTTCCAACCCAAACCATTCTATGATTCTATGAAGTAGGAGTTACAAATTTCCTTTCCATAGGTTTTCAGCTATCAGGCTGTGAAAAAGTTTTCCTGCTATCACACACCACAGTAAAAGCCCTTTCAATTCCGTTCCAACAGGTTGTGAGTGCAGGTACTGGACTGTACTGGTACTACTTTTTGAAGTTTGTTGTTTTCAAGCTTTAAAAAGTTTATTCTGCATGGCAATGAGAATTAACTCTGGGAAGCAGAAAGCAGCCACCTCTGTGGCTGATAAGATTTAATCTGATCCAATGTATCAGAGTGCTTTAGTTGTTCCTGGAAGGGATTGAACATGAGACACTTGTGCAAAACTGTTGATGAATAAAGATGGCACAGTAATTTTTATATGTGAGAGCTATCTATTTGATTGCTTCAGCTTTAAGGTAGTTCATCACAGTAATTCACCCTGTGTTGCCTCTTTAACTTCATACCACAGTTTCCCATCAGTCCGATTAGAAATGGCAATGCCTTTATCAGATTAATCTTTCTTTCTCTTTCTTCCTTTCAGTATCTCTGACCCCAGAACAAAACAAAACCTACCTTGCAGCCTGTACTGCAGTGGCAGAAATGCTCATACCTGAGGGTCCAGTGCACAGATGGAGGTTAAAACCAACACTTCTAATTGTAGTTGTTTGATATATACACATCTTTCCTCCTCTTATGAAAAAAACACAGACTTTTCTGTTTCTAAGCAGATAGCTGCTTGCCAGAAACCTTCTTACACAAAACCGGGTCTGATTATTTTATTGGATAAATAGATATCCACAAAATTAATAAAGTAGCAAATATATTACCTGTGAAGTTTGGGGTTTGGGCTTCTTTTGCCAATTGTATGTCATAGGGAATCCAATTCTTACCTTTATCTAGAGTTCAAACAGAATTTATGTCATTCATGAGCATGTAGCATCCAAACTATTTTGTATGGCCTCAGTAAAATCCAAGAATTCTTTTATTTCTCATTAACTGCATGGAGCACTTATTCAGTACATTTACACTAACCATTTAATAATTATTCTAGAGGGACCTTTACCAACTCTTTCATTATGTAGAGACTTTTTATTATTTTTATTGCTCTCATAAATAGCATATAAACACATGAAAAGGGCTGACAGAGAAGTAGCTTGAATATGTTTTTAAATATAAAAGCATATTCATCTCGGAAACTTTAGCTGGATTTTGACTTACTTCTTTAGTTTTAACTCCCAACCAAATGCTGCTAAATCCAGGAACCTTTGTGAGCTTGGACTAGAGAACCTGCCTGCCTCTACATTTTTTCTCTATATGGTGAGGCTGATGGAAAAAACTCCCAGTATTGAAAGGAACAGCTAGGGATAATTTAAGAACCTAGTCTTGGGAAACCTGCAGCATGTTGGACTCTTTTGATCACAAGAGCAGCTCAGAATTAATTATATTATAGCACGGAACACACCAGTAGTTTTTTTTTAAGCAGAGGAATTGAGCATCATGGACAATTCAAAGAGTAGTTTGAAAGTGAATGTTAGTAACTCTGCAGTGTGTAGGAAAGGAAATAAAAATACATTTTAGTCCTGGGGTAGACCTAATTTCTGTGACCCGGGAATAGACTACCACTTCCATTTGGTAACTTTCTGTGGCAAGCAAGTGCATATGTCTGTCTGGCAAAGAACATTTTGTTTTGCTGCTTTGCTTAAGTCAAAATGTTTGCATGTAGCAAACTTACAGTTTTTATCTAAAGCCAGTTAAAGCTAAAATTTTGATATTTTAATTAACTACAATAATATAGTGAACAAGACAGTAAAAATTTTGATGATGTCATTACATAACCAGCTATCAGTATAAACACTGATTGTGTTCAACTTTCTTATAGATATAGTTTACCATATCAGTTTTAATTATCAAATTGCTTTTTCTAATATTTGACTAATGTGTTTTAATATTTTATTTACTCTAGGTTTTCCTCATCAACAAAACTGTTGTTTTTATAGCATTGTAACACCAAATTATGTGTACTTCAGAGAAGATATTTCTATTTTATAGGAGATGTTAAAATCCATTTGCACACTACAAAATCTTAACATGCAGAATGGGTATAGATAGAGGTACCAGGAAATGAGTATTCTGAAAGTTTGTGGGGGATTCCTGGATCTTGGTGAGTCTACAAGATATGTAGCCTCTTGGACATTTAGGAAAATTGTCACAGCAGTATCTGAAAATCAAAAAGAATCACTGTGATGGTAGGAAAATAGACAAATGTAAGAAACTCCATATTAGTCTTCAGAAAAAGAAGCATAATTACTCTAGTTGTCCCATTGAATGCATTTCAGTCCTGGTTGCTGTTTTCTGGAATAACAAAATGTGACCTTCAGCATGCAGCAATACAAAGACAAGTGTGTTCCTTGCTTTTCAGCAGCAGAAACAGAAGTAGTTTTTGTAATTTGAACTGATTTAGTACCCATGTACAGAGGGGAAAAAAATAACGTTGGACTTTTTCATACTGCATGGCTGAAGAGGCTTAACAATACCTTTAGGAAGCAGCACATACTGAGAAGAACTCAGCATACTCACTAACAAAGTATCTCCGCTATGTCACTTAGATATTTTTGTCTAACATACAAAAAGCCTGGAACGTAATACTTTGATGTCCACTTATGTCTGAGCAATTTGTGTAGATTATGGATCTTAAGAGAGTCAAATAATAGTTATCTTTTTCTGTATCAGATGCTCTGGCCTACATGCCAGGTGCTAAGGGTTCAAAGCCTCTTTGCATCTCTTTGCTAATGACCAATGAGTTTGGGATTTAACCACCAGTGGGGATGGCAGCACTCATAGAAAGATGCAGGCAGAGCCATTTAAAGGGAACAACTATGTGCTAAAAGTTCCTCACAACTCACATCATAAGATGTTTCAGGGATATCAGGAAATATGTGGCAACATCTTTTCTTGCCAAACCTACGTGCTGTTACTCAGTGGATTAAGGATCTTTCAGTGTTGCTGCCCAATAGCTTTGTTTGACTGCTACATGGCTGATGTTGTAAACACAGAAAAATCTCTTAATTTAAGTAATTTAAGAACTGCCTTCTGGGTTGATCCAAGATGTTCTCAACGCTTGTCAGAGAAAACATTTAGCTTGCAATGCCCTCTAGAGGCAGATTTGCCTTAGTAGTGGTGACTGCAGATACGCCCTTTGCTTTTCTGGTCCAGTACTGGAGCTTTCAAGAAACAGAGTTTTTTTAATTAATTTTTTTTAATTTTATTTTTGCTTGTTTGTTTTACTTTTTTTTTTTCCAAATAACCCACACGTCACATTTGTGTAGGAGCAGAGATCTGGAATTATTAGGGGCTCTGCAGCTGACCCAGATGCCTCATTCTGGACTTGCACAGAACGTGCTTCCAGGTGAGATGGGGCCATATTTAAACTGCATAGCAAGATGTCGATGCTTGAAAACAATAATGGATTTTTATTTACAAATACTTTGAATAAGACTCTGAAAACATAAAAATATTTCTAGCAGCTTACTGTTATTCCAAAGGATGTGTTTGTAACATGTCTTCTATAAATCTGTAGTCCTCAGTTTAATAAATTCAGAAGTTCTTCGAGTTTGAGGATCAAGAAAGATGAGGATCCCTGTCTTTTACTGACAGCCATGGGCTGCTATACTTGGAACAGCAGAGACTGAAAAAGAGAGGATGAGCATAATTTCTTAATATCAAACTCTGTGTTATCCCATATTAAAATAGAAACTCTACAACCACAAAGGAGTCACCTCCATGTAATCAGAAACAGAATTTGAACCTTGAAGCTTTTATTTGTCTTAACTTAATTCATAAAAGATTTTGGGGGGTGACTTTTGTTTCACTAGTTGACAAAGGTTTCTAGTAGACCTAGAAAAATGTCAGCAAAG